AGCAGCTATAGTATTCAAATTAGAAACAGTTGTATGAATCAATTTCGGTGTTATTTCAATTAGAATGCCAGTGAAGGACCGAAAGAGATGATGAATAGGTGACATTGTTTGCCGTTATCGATGTATGATAAAAAAAATCTCATGCAACAAGTTGTGCGCAATCAATTGAATCACTCTAGATGTATATTCTCTTGTGTTCTCAATATTTATAAGAGAATTCTCATTAAACTATAACAATTGACAAAAAACAGAATATTTTAACAAAATTTATGTTGATTGACATTTTTCTCCGTCATGATGACACGAATATCATTGTTTCATTGAATAGGTGATGGTCTATATCGATCTCTCTTGACGAATTGTCGATATTTGGAAATACGCATAGCATCGTCAATAATATCATTCGATAATCCACTGGTCTAAAGACCGGCAATTAATTATTCTGGTTTTTGTTCGAATCTTCTAGAAATTATATCCTTTGTCAATATTTTTTTCTTTCATTCTTCTATGCGAATAGTCACATCTTGACATGATGGAAGAGAGAAAAAGAAGAAATACATTGTAATGCTGCCATTGTAACATGACGAAATGATGGCATTTCACTAGAGCACATCTCATGAGTATTAACACAGGTGCAACGCTCCAAAGATATTCATCAATTATCGTATCGCAATAGCTTTTGATGCGTGTTTATCATATGCGAAGAACAGATGTATTGTTCTCATTTTCACGATGCTTTAAAAAAAAGACGTCAATTTCATTGAAAACTTTAGAAAAAAAACCAATCAATAGTGTACATCTAATAGCTAGCTAGTAGATTTCTACTCTGTTCGAGAAAGTGAACGTCTGAATAGAGACTTCTCGAACTTCTCTGCTTTTGCTTTTCGAATACTAAAAATAGTTTACAATAATTTCCAAAAAAAACGTGTTGATTCAAATTTGTCTTAAAATACAATCAAGCTGAGTTAATCAATTCAATCGTGTCAATTTCCATTTCTGATCTAATCCATTATCGAATGCTCGTTGTACCATTTGTACACCTGCTTGTGTAGAACCATTAATAATAGAAGCTACTTTTTGTGACCAAACATTGACAAATGATACAGTCTGATCACCATTTTCCATGATACTCCAAATCTGGTTTTCCTTTAAGTTAAATTTATATTGTACAATTTTTGCATTATCATCTGTTTGCCAATCATGAACATCAAGAACTTTACGACTATGAACATTGATTATTTTGTAATAACTATTGCCAATATAATTTATATCCCATTGTTGCCATGCAACACCTGTATAATTATTTTGTACGATTAATGCACGATCTTGCTTTTGACCAGATTGAACTTCAGGTGATAAATTAGATTTGAGATTGATAATTGTATAGCGACCATCGTATTTTGGTGACCACATTTCCACACTATCAATTAATAGACTCTGTGGATAATCAGTAGCATTCGATGATGCTACTGATGGTGATCGACCACCGACACCTAATGCTAAAATTAATCTCATTTCAGTTATTTGTGTTAATTCATTTGATTGAGCAAACGACTTTAATGGAACATTATCGTAGAAAAATGTCACTTTGTCATAACCCCAATCGATTGAATACAAATGCATATCTTTACTATTATCTGTCAATGAACGTGCAGTTCCACTAACTGAAGCACGTGATCCAGCTGGAGATGTATATTGAAAAGAATAGCCAACATTTTTTCGATCATCGAATATGTCCATCGTCAACATGGGTAAAGTTTCATCAGTTGGGACGAGCATTATCATTGGCCAAGTACTTGTTGCTGACGGGACTTGCATACGTACAACAACTAGACCACGAGTTAAAGTGATACGACTGTTTGTATAAATAGCACCCGATGTATAATCTAGCGTAACAAAACCATAATCAGCTGTATCAATATTCATTATACTTGTTGATCGCAGGGCAAGAGCTGTCAAGTTGACTAGATCATTCGACATAGTTACTTGGCGTGGGACCATATTTGCTCGATGATTATAAATTGTTCCCCAAGGATAATTGGGACTCCATATGGATGCATTAAGTCTAGACCCACTATTAAATGAATCTTCAAAGACCAGTGTAAGACCATCTCGACCAATGCTCAATGCATTCTGAAAGTTGAGAACAAGAAGCACAATCACCAAACACGTCGACAAATCGCGGACGAACATTTTTTCTAATTGAAATCCGTATTTTTTTTTGTCACTGTATATAGTGCTTTGCTGATATCTTGTGAGAAAATAAACCACATGGCATTTAGAGTAAGTGAATGTATGTTGATCTGGTTTAGTTCTGCTATGCACGCAATGACGTGCGTGTTTTATTTTTTTGAAAACTACACTCGTCATTATTAGTGCACGTTTTCAAATAGCTAATCTGTCGCACGAAATCTTGATATCCTACATATGAACTAGATGTCTAGTTAATGGTATTTTGAAAGTTTGATGATCGATTTTGCAATAGACAATGAGGTATATCCAGTTTCTTTCATCGACTTTGAAAATCAATGGATGTTGAGCGAAGCAGTACCAGCATGATAGGTGATCGTTCTTTTAACACATTCAGAGTGATGTGTGAGTGAATGCAAATGTGAAAAAAGAGAATACACACACATCCATACCCATATCCTCAAGTTCATTAAATCATGTTGGAAATAATTAGTTGTACCTGTGTATCCATTATTTCTGCATGTCGTACAACAAGTTTAGCTATTTTATTCATATCAAAATGATCATATTTACCAATAGGTTGTGCTAAATTAATACTTTCTGATTAAATATTTGATAATGTTGTTTCATTAGGTGTATCTGATGGACTTATTATTGTCGAAGAATTTTGTACAATAATAGGTGGTATTGAACGACAGATATTTCTACTTTATTTGTTATTACCATTTATAAATGAGTTTTGAGGATAATGAGGAGGAATAGATCACTGAGAAAAATCTTTTTTTATCGACATGCAGTTGATTATAATTGACGTTGTTGTCGATTGAGAGGTAATGATGAGTTAAAATTTGTTAGTGTCTATGGAGGGTGACATTTTAATCAAGTTAGAAGTGTATATGGTCGATAGATCATTCTTTCATTTGAAGAAATAGTTTCGGATATTTGTGATTTGAATACAGAAAATTCACTGATTGTTTACTGATGCGAGCAACAAGGTAAATGATAAGATATTGATACGGTTCATTTTTCGAATATGAATGAGTTAGATAATATACTTGGAATATATCAAAAGTAGTGACAGTAGTACTATGTTACAGTACAGAAAAACTCTAGAAAGTTTTCTATAAATATGTTGCAATGAAAATTAAAATTTTAATTTTGATTAAATTGAAATTTTTTTGATTAGAAGAAAAGGTACAGAAAAATCAAAAAATTAAAGCAGCGACAACTTTTTTATTTCAAAAACATTATTAATAAATATTATATGAGTATGAGTGCAATATAGACTTTGCAGCGGTGTCAATTTATGTTTATTATCAATTTTATTAATGAGTAAATTAAATTATCCATAATTTAAGTTTAAAATAAATATAGACTATTGTTTTCATAACTTAAATTTAAAAATAAGTTTAAATTATCATAATTTATATTTTAAATAAAGTAATATTTTTTTTCATGATTTACATTTGAAATAAATTAAATATTAAATTTTAATTATGGAAAAAAGCTCCTTCCACATTCACCTACGTCCATATCGATATGCTTTGTTATCAGAATATTACTTTTTTGTTTTCATTGAGAAAAAGAATTTTAATTTTAATCACTACATATATGTACTGGTAGTCCAAATAATTATCGGTAATAGTTCACCCGTCTGCATTTGCTATGATAATATTAGAATTTCGATCATACATGTTCATCTCTGATTAAAAGATTAAACAGATTCATTTCCTTATTTATAATGATCCTCATATTACAATTGACGAATTGCAAGTGCAAACTAGTCGAAATCATAGCACCATCCGACAAATAATCGTTGTTCATCATTAACTTAAAAAGATAACAGCTTGTTAGGTATCATAACGGCTGATTTTGAGAGAGCTCATGAAAGATATGATCTATATGGCAGGTCTAATAGATCGTTGATTCGTCTTCAATATCTTTTCAACCTTCACGAAACTATTCATATCATTTTTCAGTTGTTTTAAGAGGTGAAGCTTGATTGCTGAAAGCACAATATAATTTATTATAAATAATTTTGGCTTGAATATATAGTACAGTTCAGTTTTGATCGAAATTCTCATATTATCACACCATCTGAAGGAAGAATGACGAAATGTTATAGAATTATAGAGCAATTTTGGAACTATCATTATAAACGGTAGGTATCAAAATTATTCAATTAGTAGAAAATCTTATATTCTTTTGTGTATATCTCAAAAAGTAAAACATTGATTAGTTTAGTTTTTATCGACAATACAATCACAGCATGCCATTTTTCATTCTTTCAAAAGTATTCAACGACCTATTTTTACAAACTACTGTGCATCTGGTCTAATTTGAAAGTTTCGTTATGATACATGATTCAATGGAACAACTTACATTCCACGTAATGAATACTTTTTATTGTAGCTTTTCTTTGAGGACGAACAATTTTTTTTTGTTTTCCACCAGATTTTATTATATGATTACATTCGCTTTAAAAATAACGGAGGAAAATAAATTTGTTTAATGAAATATACCCGTTCTGTGCAGAATTTCAAGAGTCATGCTTTGATGAAAAAAAAAACAAATGACTCAGTCAACGTGAGAATGGAGAAAGCATGTAGAAAATATAAGCAATACACTTATTTGCAGCTCGCTTGTTACTTACAAGGTCATTCTTTTAACTTTATCAACATTTTACTACTGTAGAATATAGAAAAGTGAAAAGAAAAAGAACGATAATAACCGATGTATAATATTAATGCTATTCTTTCTTGTAGTATTTTATCTTCATTATCTTCTTTAAACTTTCATACATACTAAGCATGTCTGATGAAACAACCGGTATTCATCATGTCGAATTTCATACAATACAACCGGATTATTTACTTGATTTATTTATACATGTATATGGTTTTCAATTAATTGCTAAACGTATTACTTTCAATTATTCTCAATGGTTTCTTAAATCTTATGAATGTCATTTATTAATTTCATCGGTGTCAAATTCAGATATAAACAATATAATCAATTCCAATGATGATCATTATGATATTTTAACTTCAATAATTCGTAATAATACTACTCGTGATTTTATTCTTGATCGTGATACAGTGTTTAATATTGCTCTTCATGTTAAATCTGTTCAGTCAATTCTTGATAGGAACTCTGATGTACAAGTAAGGAATTTTTTTTTTGTGATCTTCGTATATAATCCTATAAGTTGTTCTTCATTTGCCGGAACTATCCTGGAAGCCAATACTTTCACCAAACATCTCAAGCCAATGCTCACCAAATCAATTATTGTATTTTTAACATATCATTGCTATAAATTATACATTCTGGTGGCAAGCGAAATTCTCTATAGTCCTATATATAGCTATATATGTTTTGAATTTCACTTATTCGTTAAAATAGAAATTCAAGCACAGAGAAGACACGTTCATTGTCAGATTCTCTGGAAATGTGTTTTTTTTTGTTCTTTTTTTTTCAGATTTATTTTAATATAGAAACAAGCTATTTCACAAGTAAGTGAGTGTTCTGCAAGTTTGTGGAATTTTTTATCGTTCTGGACGTATGCCAGTCGTAACTTTCAATTATTTGATGAAAAATATTTCGAATATTATTAACCTACTCTCACCCTGGCATCTTCACCCTCGATTACTCTGCATAATTCATTCAGCAGTCCATGAATCGTTATTTAGTCATTAAATGCCAAGTTTGGACAATTATTCACCTGTCAGACCTGATCTTAACATTATTTAGAGTGTTTTTTGAATTGAATGAATCACTGTGGATAGAAATATTGCCGAAATTGTCAACAAAACGTGACCTAGGAATATAATAGGTAAGTACCTTAATAATACTCGAAATATTTATCCTAAAATAAGTGAAAAAATTAAGATTAGTAAGAATACAAGATGATAGAAAATTTCACACACTTTCAAAACATTTGCTTAATGTTGTAATAGCGTGTTTCGATATTAAAATAAACTTGAATACGGAACAAAAAATACATTTTCAGAGACTCTGATATGGAGCGTGCCTTCATTGTGCTTGAATTTCTATTTCAAAGAACATGCGCAATTCAAAACGTACATTAATATAAGGCTATAGAGAATTTCGCAAGCTATCAAAATATATAACTTACAGTAATGATATGTTTAAAAAAATATTAAGTCTAATTATTTTTTCCTAAGGAAATATAAAATTTCATTTACCTATGTTCCTTCGCTCACCGGCAATGATAAAAACTGTAGTGCCATTACAATGTACGGTAGCACATTGCATTGTGTAACACATGTGATGAAGGAGAATCTCGTTCGTTATTGAGTTAATGCTATTATGGTTCACCTTTAAATCTATTCAAAGCTTATTCATCATACTCTCAATCATATCAAGATGGGTAAAGTATCTTTTTTTTTTGCGCGTCTCACATATTGTTATTCAGAGAATTTATTATCCTTTCGTGTGTCATTAAGGTACTTCTCTCACATCGACAAGCAATTGATCAACATGGATCGATAGAATATGCTTGTATTAAATCATGTATTGGAAATGTAGTACATACATTGATCGATACATCTCAGTATTCAGGACCTTGTTTACCAGGTTTTGTACCAGTATCTATCTCAGAACAACGAGTACTTACTCAATCGATGATTAACGGTATCGATCATGTTACATTTGCAATGCCAAAACAATCAGCATTATCAAGTGTTGTTTGGTATGAAAAAATACTTGGTATGAAACGATTTATAATTAATCAGTAAGATTTTAATAAAAACAAAAATTAATCATATAAATTACATTATTTATTTTTAGAGAAGATGATCCATTTCAAGGATTTCCTGTACGTGTTGGTACAGCAGGTATGCGCTTATTCGCTAGTCAATATTGGAAATGTGCTGAAACAGCTTGCATTAATGAAAAAACGTCTAATTTAAAATTAGTTTTTGCTGAATCATTAATCGAAAATGATTCGAGTAAATGATATCAATAAATTTTATAAAAAGTAAAAATTAAGATAATTTATTTTTAGGTAAAATGGATCAAATAAGAACTTTTATTGCTCAACATAAAAATCAAGCTGGTGTTCAGCATGTTGGATTCAAATCTGTGAATAATATAAAAGATGTTGTACGTATAACAAAAGCAAATGGTGCTCAATTCTTATCTCCATTAGGAAATTATTATCTCAATGTATGCATAAATTTAATATCTGCATTGATTTCTTTTTATTATTTATAATTTTGTGAATAAAGGAAAATAATGGTCATGTTATTGAAGCAGCCGGCGAAAATGTTAGTGAACTTGCTGAATTAGGAATTTTATTAGATGATGAAGATGCTAATATTGAGAAATCAAAATTAAATAAGAAGTAAAGATTGAAAAATGACAAAGAAAAGAAAAACTTTTTGATTTTTTTTCTTCATTAGAATTCTTTTACAAATTTTTACAAAATCAATTTTTAATAATGATACATTTTTTTTGGAATTTATTGAAAGACATGGTGCGACAGGTTTTGGTGCTGGAAATATTCGAACGTTGTGGAAAATTGTTCAACAACAAATGGATTCTAGAACAAATTGAAACATTAAATTGGTTTCTTTTTGGTTCATTTTAATAATAATCTTTGATTTTTTAACAACGATAAAAATAATTGGCAGAATAAACAAAATTTTAAATTAAGTAAACGTTGAAAAAATTTCGTGCCCATGGGTTGTTGTTCTTGAGTGTTATGGACACTTTAGTTAGTTTTCCAGCGCAATACCGTGGATAATCTTCTAAATCGACTAACAAATTTAAATTTTTCATAAATAAACTTCTCTATGTGACTAGTAGTTCATTGTTGAGGTACCAGACTTTCTTATATCACCTATCCTCAGCTATAAAGACAATAACCAAGTAAACTTTTCTCAATAATATAATTTTCAATGTGGATATATGAGAATGAACGAGATAGTAGAAGTCCTGTTACTCAGACAATGAATTATTTCTCATGAGAACTTAATTTGTGCAATGTTTGGACTCAAAACTCGATTTCGAAGATGATCTAAGATGAAATATGACATTCTATTGAAAAACTTGCCAAAACAGCCATAAATCAAGAACAAATTATACATGAACACAAATCGTATTGTTAGTTTGCTTCACTTTCGACCAGACCTCTTGAGATAGATAATTTTTGTCTCAAATTTGTCTTTTTATCACTTTGCAATCATAATAGTTACTCAACATGTAACTCTATTGTAAATTGTTCAGTAACTTTTTGCTTCAGAAATACATAATTCTATAAAGACTATTGAAATGAAGCCGAAAATAAATATCCGAGCCGTAAAACTCAATAGTTGTGTTATCGAATAAAATACATTAGTACCATTAGTGTACGTCGTTTGATGACTGTGTAAATTGTACAGATCAAAGGAGTAAAAGAAAAAAAGTTATTACGCAAACACTACGAACATGTGTCATAAACAACTTTCAAACATAAATATACAAACTGAGTTATGCTTTCTTCCCATTAATAAAGCACTATCTCGAGCACAATCATGTGTGCTCTACGTAATGGCATCTAGAAAAGAACGTATCAATCAAACATATTGACAGAGAATTTAGCATTTGGGTAACAAGTCGAAATCTGCCATATCGGATCTCTTTTGCTTGAGTCTAATCGAGAGAACAACGGTTTCTTAGAAATTAAGTAGACTCCTTTAGCATAACTTAATAACTTTTAAATAAGAACAAATTGACTCCAAAAAAGAAATTATGGCTGAACTAAATAAATTTTCAGAAGAATATGAAACGCTACGGTGTAAAAATGGTGTCTTTAGGAAAATCTAAAAAAGTAAAGAAAGGTCAGTTTCACTTTTCCATATCTCAATATGAGAATGCATTAACATTAGAAAACGAAATATTGTGCTGGGAATTTGTTAAAAGTACAGGTTTGTAGCAATTATACAATATCTGTTTTGTTTTTATTTCTACGGTACACATATGTCTATAGTTTTGTAAAGAGTTGAACGCTGGGTCGTTTAAGATGAAACTCAGTTCATAACTACTAAAATTAATATATATATTAAGAATATACTGCAAGGCTCATTTGTTCTAGGAATTCTAACCGGTGTCTCAAGTGGAATTGCACTAAATTTCGGTGTTTCTTTCTATCGCTTGTTATTCGAAAAAGAAGTTTGTCTACATGCCAAATGATAGAGAATTTAAAGCTCTACAAAACTGATCACTTGACTTGTTAAATAAGTTTTCTTTACTAGTATCAACTTTACAAGGTGAACATCCATTCAATTACTCAATTGCACCGTTCAGAAATGCCATAAAATTCTACATTTTTGAAATATATGTTTTAAAATTTGAGGTGAAACATTTGGAGCAAACGACTTTGAAATTAAAACGAACTGAAAATATTGACGGTAACCTTTTATGATAGATCAATACAATTCTTTTTTAATTCTAAATAATCTTGATATTTTCACTATTCAATTGAACAGTTCAGAAATAAATTCTACATTTAACAGTTCAATAATAAAGCTTTTCTAGAGTGATTATTGACTTTTGAAAACAAACGCTTTCAAACTACATAAAAACTATTGACAGGTGGTACCTCTAAGCCTTTTCCTCTTGATTCACGCCTCTAGAAATCTTGAAACGGTCGTGAGAGTATAGAACACATAATTCTCTATCTTTTGACATATACACAAAATATTTTTACAAAAAGCAAGCGAGAGAAAGAAACAGCCAAATTCAGTATGCTTTCACTTATAGCATCCGCTAGAAGCAATACACTTTGAAGTTGAGAACAGAACAATACATTCCATACGATTATGTACATACCTACTAGAAACCATTGAAGAATTTGATTATTTTTCTGTTGCTTGAGAAATAATTCATTCTGGCTTTCAAAAATCTAAATGGCATAGAAAATATTATCTAGATAGATTGGCTTCATTGAAATTCTCATTCTATACACATGTAGACATCTATAAAATTTACTACTCGATTCTGATTGATTTTAGAATCAAACCAATAGTATACATTCATAAACAGGAATTAATTAATCGATCAGTGATCAGTGAGTCTCCTATAAAAGAAGATCTATGGCTGCAGCAATCAATGAAAATGCTGCCAAAAATCGTCGACCTGAACTTTTAAATAAAATTGATACTGAAGTCAATGTAAATGATGCATTATTACTTACAACGGAAGATGGTCTATTAACTGCACTTGAGGATAGGTATTTATTTTTCGATCAAGTCTTTCTTATTTAAATCCATGATCAATATTTAGAACATTACGTATTTGGATACGAAGACAAACTGGTAAATATTGGCCATCAGTTTGTTATACATTAGAAAGTAATTAAACAAATTATTCTTATTGTCATTGATAGATAATTTTGTTTTTTTTATTCTAGGTGCACCAACAACAATTTTTTATCATGAATCATCTCATCGTCTTTTTTGTGGTTGTGATACAGGACTTCTTCATGTAAATTTATATGTTATCATAATAATTTTATTTATATTTTTTTTTAAGGAATTTCTTGTTTCAGAAGATTTTAACAAAATTACTCTTCAGTGTACTTATTTAGGTCATCAAAGTCGTATACATGCATTATATTTTTCATTAAATAATGAAATTTTATTAAGTGTTTGTCGTGAAAAAAAATTAAACTGGTATTCAACAAATCCATCTGATGAAAATCATCAACATCCACGTGGAAGTTATACATTATCATCATGGGCCATGTCACTTGCACTTGATGAACTATCTCGACAATGTTTTGTTGGTGATTCAAATGGAAATATAAATTTTCTTAGAATAAATACTGATAATAAATTTCAAATAATAACAACATTATCGGGTCATACAGGTTAGAAAAAAGAACGAAATAAAAATAAATTCATATATAATAAAGAAAAAATCTTTTCAGGAGGTGTTCAAACACTTTTCTGGGAATCCGAAGTTGAATGGTTATTTTCGGGTAGTTTTGATACATCAGTTGTTGTTTGGGATATTGGAACACATAAAGGTGTTGCTCTCGAATTAAATGGTCATTCTGATCGTCTTGTTGGAATATCATATGATAAGTTACGTAAACTTTTAATAACATGTTCAACTGATGGTAATATTGGTGTATGGCCAATGAATGTTAAACGTAATGAAACTCCAAAATGGTTAGAAAGCGATCATTGTCAGATATGTCAATTACCATTTTTTTGGAATATACAGGCAATGTGGAAACAAAAACAACTTGGATTGAGACAAGTAAAGATGATTATGATTTATTTTAGAATGTTAATTTTTGTTGTTGTTGTTGTTTTTCTTCTTAATTAGCATCATTGTCGTAGATGTGGTCGAGCTGTATGCCATGGATGTTCACAAACACGTACAGCACTTCCATTAATAGGTTATGAAACTATTCAACGTATTTGTAATGATTGTGGAAAAGTATTAAAAAATGAGGAGTAAGTATTTTGAATATTCCTTTTTTTTTTCTTTTTATGATGATGGTCTATACTCATTTAAATAGAACGGTTCCACTTGCTGCTTTTTATGATATACGTCAAGGAACGATTAAGATGGATTATAATCAAACAAAAAAGATTATGATGACTGTTGGAACTGATCGAACGATTAGAGTAAGTTTATTATAAGTGACTTGATAGACAAGATAAACACCATATTTTTACATGAAATCTATTGACTATTTTAATATGAAATAAAAATTTTTAAGATTCATTCCGATAGATATTCTGTTTTCAAATTATTTTAGATATTTTAAATAATTTTATCACAAATCGATTATTGTTTTTTCTTTTCAAAACCTCGTCGTTAAAAAAAGACATGCTCTTCTATTGAGGTATAAGCCAGAGATGGAATCGGTCTGGGTGGGATAGACCGGATCGAACTGATGAATTTTCATACTATTCCATCTGTGAATAGTGATACTTAACGTAGTCAACTTTCAGAAAAGTTTTCTTACATATCCTCGATGAGATAATCAGAGCAGAAAAAAAATAAATAAATAAGACTCACTCACCAGTCATAGCCAGTCTACTAGTTATTGGTGCCATCTCTGGTGTAAGCTGATCGACTGAATCAACGCTCAAAGCAATTCAATTGTGTCGGCATGACACAAGAATAGACATTTGAGTTTCAAAAAATATTGACAATCTAAAATTGCGTCGTCAATGAATGCATTGCCTTACATCCTTATTACCTCTATATCTTTTCCAAAAAGAAAATAGTACATAAATTGAAAAGTTTAGGAAAATTAGAAAATTTGTATTATTCTATATTTTGAAATATATAAAGTTAAATAAGATGCATTCGTTAAATTTATTAAGAACGTGAAATTTATTTGTAGTTTTAACTAGTCTATAAGAAAGAAATTCGTATATTATCATGATTTGTTTGTTGAATTTTACTAGTTAATTTATATTCTAGTGAGAGTAGAAAATCATCTAAAAAAGAATTTTCTTTTATAATTAGGTTTCCTGGAGAGCATTGATTTTAAAAATATTATAGATCAGGAAATGACAAATCTAGTATAAGCCGTTTTTCTAATATCATTG